CTCTTGTAGGCAGGTTTAAGGTGTGCATTTGAAATAGACCTTCATAGTAATTTATGGTGTTGCTAATAGTCATTTGAACAAAAACTTTATTGGCTTTTGACATGCTGGAGATATGAGGGCTTCATGTCATGGGGACCCAGATGATACCTCTTAAAGTGTCTAATGGTTTTGAGAATGGCAGCATGTTATTTTTTTGGCCTTTCATTGTATCCCCAGTACTTAACACAGTGCCTGACACATAGTAGGTCCTTAAAAAGTCTTTATTGACTTGATTTGGTGAATAAGGGATAGAGTCCTGAGTTTAGAGCCAAAAAGACCTGGATTTGAACTCTTATTAGCTGTGTGAATGTTGACAAATAATTTAATCTCTCAGAGGTTAAACTTCTCAGTTTCCTCATCTCTAAACTAGGAATTATAATAATCATTACTTACCTCTCAAGGATGTTAAGAGGAAAGTACTTCATAAACTTTAAAACACTATATAAATGAGTTACTATTTTCTTGATTCTTGGCTCATATTCTTTCATTTTCTCATTGGCAACTTAAAATTTCTAATCCTTTTTCCATACTATTTTAAACATCTTCTCTTCCTAAATTTTTCTCTTTTATGAATTTTATTTTAATTTTTGTATGTTTTAAATTTTATCCAATAAATTTCCCTTCCCAATGGTATATATAAGGTACAGTTTGTAGCAACTACAATACAGTAAATGAGAGCAATTGCTAATACAGTTAGGTCTAATTTGCACTATTTGAAGTTATAATTATGTAAAATATGGTAATTGGTTGTAGCCCAGTGGAAACATGCAGTGCAAATTCAAATAATGTGATTGCTTCATGGGATTCATTATTCACACTAATTGGGACTTAGCTATATTAGCAATTGCTAATGGCCTGGCTGTACAAAGAAATCATTCTAATTCACAAAAGAACTATTTCAGGTGTTGTTATTTTCAAGATACAACATCTGTATTTCTCTCTGAGTTCAATCTAATATTTTCAACTTGGATATGCAGAAACTGAAGCATTTATAGATGGATGGCTTTGTATAAGAGCCTGGGAGAGCAAATGATAAAGCATCTGGCAATATGTGAATACATTTGGAACCATTATTTTTCTTATACAATCTTATTCCAATTAACTTTTTTCTGCCCTGTTTCACATAAGGCATTTTGTAGGGTATGAAAACAAAGACTGTGGGCCAGTTTTTAGCTAATGTCTATTAGAAAATACCACTACCTCATTTGAAAAAGTGGGTTTTTCATTTCCATGTGTAAAAGTAAAATCCTCAGTTCCATTTTCCTGTTACATGATATTAACATGTGGATTAACTTTTAATTTGAAGTCATGTTTTGTTCACACAAACTGGACTGCCTTTTCCATTCTTTGTTCAAATGGGAAGTTCTTGTTTTTTTTAAACTCCCATTGAGAGAATATTTTGAGACCAGAGAGATTAGCTTCATCTCAAACAATGTTTTCCTGCAAAGTGAGATTGTCTCATTGAGAAGCAAAGGTGGGGCAGCTAGATTGGCGCAGTAGATAGAACACCAGCCCTGGAGTTGGGAGGACCTAAATTCAAATCTGGCCTTAGACACATGATACTCACTAGCTGTGTGACCCGGGGCAAGTCACTTAACCCTGATTGCCTTGCCAAAAAAAAGGAAAAAAAGAGGGAGAGAGAGAAGCAAAGGCAAAGAAGATGGTTTTCAGGGAGTGTCAGGAATCTATGGAACCTCAAGCTATGAACAATTAGTTCCAGATGCTTTCCTGGAATTCTTTTATGTAATAGCATATGGTTAGTACTCCAGCATAAGAGTGCTTAACCACTCCTGTTGGACAAGGAAGAAAGTGAAACAGTGATATAATAAGGAAATACTCAATAAAATGAAATTTGGCCATTTTCAAGAGACAGTATTCAGGAATCTTGTATGCTGGCCTGGCTGTGTGGACAATATGAATGGTTAATGAACCCACAGAAAGAAAAATGAGAAAAAGATACGTTTGGCTTAGATGACTTGGTTTGCATACAGGCGTAAATGTCTTTGCCCCAGAAGAAAAATAAATGAACCAGGAAAATCTTGACTGACATCAGGAAGAAGATTGTGTCTTTTGAGAAAACATCAGTGTTACATTACAGACATCATTCAGAGCTACCAAATGGGCCAGATGTTTGCCAGAATCCTTAGTGTTACCAGCTGCCCATCAGAGCAGATGAAGCCTTTCTGCTGACAGTTTATGTAGCCCACAAGCACTATGAAGTGTTGATTCTTTGGATGCTATTTAATATTTATGTATATTCACAAATATAAACACATAAATATACATGACATTGCACATTAAATAAAAGCTCAGCTTTCATCATGAAAGGGGAGGACTGTATTTATTACCTGAGAGGCAGCCTAATATTGAGTTTCAGTTCTGTTATGAAATGTCCCCCCACTTGAGTTGGATGCTTCAGGTTGCTTTGTGCTCATTTTGGAATTAATTGTACCCAGACTTGTAAATTAAAATAAGTGGTATCATCTATGCAAAGAGTGCAGGGGTATTTCACAGTAACATCTTCAGAGTTATTTTCTGAGTCACTCAGCCTTGAAATCTTATGGTCACCAAGTTTTGCCAGTTATTCTTTTACATTTTGAAGCATCTGTCTTTCCCTTTCTATTTTCATTGATTCAGCCTTAATTTAGAGTGTTCTCACCTGGACTCTCTTGGCAGCTTTTCAACCCTGCCTCCTGTAACCCCCCTCTTAAACCATACTCCACACCACCATTAGGCTAATTTTTTTTAAGGCAATTGGGGTTAAATGACTTGCCCAGGATCACATAGCTAGTAAGTATCAAGTGTTTGGTCTGAGGCCAGATTTGAACACAGGTCCTCCTGATTTCAGGGCCAGTGCCTTATCCACTGTGCCACCTAGCTGCCCCCAAGGCTAATCTTTCTAAAGTAATGTTGTAATCATCCCAATTTCATACAAAATAGAATAGAAAATCAAGTTTCTTATCACCTGAACTATATATTACTTCCTTTTTTTCATTATGACCATTTGTGAAGTAATAGTTCACATTTTCAGCAGGATTATTTTTGGCATCCTACTAAATTTGGGAACCTCCATGTTTCCCAAATTTTTGTGTCCCCTCTCAGCATTAAGCACCATTTTTAATGATAGTGTTCAAGAAATATTTATTAAATTCATGTACCCCTCTATATAGGGTCACAGCATTTAAGGTTGAAAAGGACTTCAGAGATATTTCAACCAGACTTAGCCAGGGAAAGAAATCTACTTATATAAGGAGGTGTCTATAAGGTAGTAATACTGAGTTTCAACAAACATACCAAAACACATCTAAGTGTTGCTCTTTTCAAAGTCGTCTCATAAAACTATATGCTTATTACAAGTATGCTTTCGTGGCTCAGAATATTTTGAAATTCCTCAAACTTTTTGGAATGTCTTCAGAATTTGCAACATGTTCTTTCAAATATCTCAAATCTTCATCTTTGGCTGGTTGGTTGGTTTGATCTTTGGGAATATCTCAAAGTCATTTGGAGCCAAGTCTGGTGAATAAAGGAGATAGCTGAGTAGCTGGCTGCTAGGGTCCCTTATAGGTCAAAATTCGTTGATTAAGATGGCTAATAATGTTGTTGGTGAAAAAAGCTATATTGCAAACTCTGTCAAAGTAGGAACCATGTAGTTATGGTCTTTGTATCTCCCTCAGACATTCAATATATGTTTATGGAGCATACATTACTAATTGTATCTTTACCAGAGGACAAAAGAAAGATAATACTAGTTCGATTCCATCCAAAGACTTCTTAGTTAAGCCATGATCTTTTTCTAGGTAAGCTTACTAAAAGTTTCTCAAAGGTCACATAAAATTCAGGTGTAGATTGTACATTGAAATAGGTTGATAGCATGAAATCAGCTTCTTCGGAAACATCCTTTATAGAGAAAAAGGCATTTCTATCTTTTGAAGGAAGCTAATTTGGTGAGATTCACCTATTAAGAAAGCAGCACATTTTTTTTATATGTGCAACTATTAAAAAATTCAAGTGTTACAATTATTAACTCTTCCCATTACAAATAATTGATCCTGTGTAGGAGGGGTAAGAGGGGTATGTTCAATCAGAAAGAAATATGCAAGTGATTTCCTGTGATATAATTCTCCTAGGTGGGAGAATACCCACAATCCTATCCTGGGAGCCTTGTTTGAAAGACAGACATATTTTATGTTATCACAGAGCAAATATATGGGTCTATAAATACATACCTCAAATGCTTTATGAGGCCCAAAGTTGCTATCTTTAAAAATATAAATCTGTGACTGTTTAAAATGAATAAATGCCAACGTATTTAGTTTATCATAATCTCTTTCAGAAATATCGGCAGTATATGGCAGGACTTTTGGCTCCTCCTTATGGTGTTATGGAAACCGGCGCTAACAATGATAGTAAGTAAAGAATTTGAAAATGTTTTGTCTAAAAATGTTAAATACGTATTTAACTAGCTACTATACATAGTCATTGTGCTGATTTGTCAGTGTGATGGATGCAGTTGTGTGTATTTCCAACTAATTTTAAAAATTAGAGTATGTTTATGGCCTTGGCTTATAGAGGATGTGTCTCTATTAGCTGTCTATATATTTGGGCAGTTAGGTGGAGCAGTGGATAGAATGCCAATCCTGAAGTCAGGAAGTCTTGAGTTAAAATCTGGCCTCAGATACTTACTTGCTGTGTGACCCTGGGTGAGTCACTTAACCTGTTTACCTCAGCTTCCTTATCTGTAAAAATAGCTAGAGAAGGAAGTAGCAAACCATTCCAGTATCTTTGCCAAGAAAACCCCAAATGGGGTCATGAAGAGTTGGACATGACTAAAATGACTGAACAACCACAAAAAGCTAACATTTAAATAGTGCAAAGCACTTTAATATATTATCTAATTTGAACCTCACAACAATCCCGTGAGGTGCTATTATTATCTTCATTTTACAGATGAGGTGATTGAAGCAGAGAGCCCAGAGCCACATATCTATTGAATGAATGAGGCAGGATTCAAACTCAGGTCTTCTGGCCACAAGTTCAATGCCAATGTTTTCTCTGCTGCGCCACTAACTACCCTGTAAAGATATAGGATACCCATTAATACAAAATACTTTTTCAGAAGGTCTTCAGTTTTGCAGCAAAACCCTATGTCATTGCTGTGCTCCGTTGAAAATGGTAGCAGGGGCCATCTTTGCCTTACGCAGCTTCTAATACCTAAGAGCTAATAGCTGCTGGGACTGCAAAATCAGCTTTTGCTTATTATGCATTTTTTATTGCATTGATCAAGCAGAGTATAATGGTTCAAATAGCATAATGATTCATTATTTACTGGAATAAAGTCAAGGTCGCTGCAAATTCCACACCTTGAGTAAAAGGTCAGTCTTTACCTAAACATAAAGAGAAGTGTGTTTTTCTGTGCCAATATCTGTTTTAGTGGGTAATGTCTGCCTTTCAGACTTGATGAAATATTAGAGTAATTAAAGTCTAATTATCCATCGATGTATGACAGGAACTTTTGTTTCTCTTTAGGATTACTGGAAGTTTTTCATAAATTCTAAGAAAATAGAGCATTCCTGACTCTTTAGTAGTATGTTTTACACATACGTGACACAGCATACGTTCTAAATATTTTATCATCTCAACCTAAGTACAAAGGTGTACATAAACCCTTCTTGTTATCCCACAAACCTCAGAGCTTTAACTGTAATTGTTTCAGACCTTTAACACATTCCCAAATCGACCTCTTCTTCTCTTAATCTTAAGATCACTGGCTAAGTGATCTTACTTCCTACTTTAATCTGCTAAGCAGTTCAAGGCCATCTGATGTGATTCTACCAACTCTTCTCCACTTCACCTCATATATTTTCTACATTTTCATCCATACCCTTTTCCTTTGTTCTTATATCTAGGGAAGAAATATTCCTCCTTACATTTTCAAGCTTTTCTCTCCACTGATTCTTTTCTTCATCTTATAAAAATATTCTAAGACCTACCCTACTCTTAAAAAAATCCCCTTCTAACTCATTGAATTGCTTTCCTATTCCTTTTTGCCTTTCCCCCTCTGAATAGTGCAAATAGTAATAGTTCAAACCCACCATTTCTTCGTCAGTACCATCCAGACATTCCTGAACTACTTACAGTGGCTTCCATCCTTGCCATTTGACTGGAAGTTCTCTCCCTAAAACTGTGTTTATGAAGTAGTTTTTAACTCAACTGTAAGACTCTACATTTATCTCTTTTGGATTTCATTTCTTTACAATCAGACTAATATTCTAACCTACAAAGATCTTTTGCAGTTTTGACTCTTATCCATTATGTTAAATATTCTTCTCAGCTTTGTGTCATCTTAAAATGTGATGAACACTCCACTTAGGCCTTTAGCAGACCATTAATAGTATTTTCAAATAGCACAGGGACAAACAGAGGTTCCTGAAGCTGCTGGGGACATTATACCTTTCCAAGTAGACAGTGAACCATTGATGATTACTCTCGGAGTTTGTTACTCAACCAATTCCAATTCTATATAATTATATTATCATCTAGTCCACATTTCTCCCTACATCAAGGAAATCACATGTCTAGACCCAACCATCCCAAGTATAAACATCTCCTCATTTCTTCCACGTGAGAAGTATTAAATATTTGACCAAATGCTACATCAATAGTATCTAAAACATTTCTTCAATTTGCTAGTTTATTAGCCCCATCAAAAAAGAAAATAAAGTCAATATGGTTTGACCCATTCTTGATGATACCATGATGGCTCTTCAGAATAACCACTTCTTTTTCTAGATGTTTACTAACCAGTCATCCTAACACAGACTTAGGGAGGTTCTGAATGTGATGTTCAGTACGTGAAAATATGACAAGACAGCAAGGCAAGATAGCTATATTAAGGGAAAATACTCACAAAATAAAAGACAGTCAAGAGCAATGATGGTAACAGATCCATTGGACCCCTGGATGAAATTGAATACCTTGATGGGGTTCATGGTACCTTTCCAGTTTTGCTCAAACTTTCAAATATCCCTAAGCTCAGCAATTATGTCTACCAGTTCTTTCTATACCCAAGGATATAGTTTACCTGGGTCAGATGACTTAGGCTCACTAAGGGCAAGTAAGTGCTCACACACTATTTATTTATCTTATGCATCTCCTTCCTGTTGGCTACTTTTATTCTGTCATTTCCAGTGCAAAGTTGAGCTTTCTTGGTAGAGGGAATGGGGCACCGGCCCTAAACTAGTTAGGTCTGAAAGGTTTTTGTAGGATTCTTAATTGGGTCTAGTAGGAGCAGTCATTGGGGGAAGGGAGTGAGGAGCCTAGAGCTGGACAATAGTACCCACTCATGCTAATTGGGTGGAGGGAAGACTCCTGAAAAATTAGAGGCTAGTAGATATTAAGCTTACACTTTGTGAAAAGGGCTTTTGGCAGTTCCTGCTGATTTTAATCAGACAAGGCTACTCTGGTTTTTCGTGTTTCCTGTGGGTTTATGTGTTTATGAGGCTGGGGAGGCTACTGTATTCCTTATCCCACCTCTTTATTGATTCACTTCAGCATTTTCCTAGAAATCAAAATCAAGCTCACCAGTCTATAGCCTTCAGATTCTGTTCTCTTACCCTTTTTGAAAATCGGGATGTTTGCCCTTCTCCTGTCCCATGTATCTTTCCAATTCTGCTCAAACTTTTAAATATCTCTCAGCTCAGCAATTATATCTACTAGTTCTTTCTATACCCAAGGATATAGTTTACCTGGGTCAGATGATTTAAGTTCACCAAGGGCTCACACATTATTTATTTATCTATCTTGTGCATCTCCTTCCTGTTGGCTATTTTTGTTCTGTCATTTCCAGTGCAAAGTTGACTTTTCTTGGCAGAAAAAAAAATAGAAACAGAAGAATTAGGCAGCTCTTCCTTCTCTCTTTACTAGTTATCATAACCTCATCTACTCCAATAAAAACAATGTCAATAAGAACATTTTGTTGTCCTTAATGTTCTTTACCAGCCTCATTCATCTCATTTTGAGTTTAGCACTCCTGAAACTTTTTTGCAAAAATAACCCAAAGTATTATATTCATTCTTTGTTATGTGTTCTTGCTTCCGTCTTCTGTCCATATGTTTTGTTTTATTTTGTCTGAGACTAGATCTCCCTAACTCTCCTAGACTGGAAGTGCAACTGCCACTGATGGGCCCCATCACATTGCTGATCAGCATGAAAGCTCTGCTCTCTTTCCATCCTGGGCTGGGTCACCCCTCCTTAGGTGGCCCAGTGGCCCTCTAGTCCTAGGGTTCACCATATCGGCTCCACACTTGGTGTGGACACTTGATCAGCTTCTGTACATGAATTTTAAAAATCTAAGCTCAGTGTATACAAATCAATCTCCAAATATTATTTTTTTTCTTTTCACTGTAATTTCCCTTCTTTGTTTTCTTCAGAGATTCCCATCTCTCCTAGGCTGACTTTCCCTAGAGAATTCTAATCTAAGAGATCCTGTCTATCTTTCCTTTGAAGTCTTCAAAATATGCTTTCCTTAAATCTAGATTATATATTCAACTGTGTGTGCCTAGCTGTCCCCTCCTCTATCATAAATTCTAGTATGGAGTGACCACCTCCTTCCAATGTTCTCATCGTTTTCATCCCGCAAACTAGTACTTTCCTACCAGTGTTTCAACTAGGGTTATCGTGAGGATCAAATGAGATAATATTTATAAAGCTGCACAGTTTATTAAGCACACGGTAAGTGCTTAATAAACACTTATTCCTTGTTCCTAGTAAGAAGCAGATCCAGTATAGAACAGGGACCTTGTTGGTTCCTCCACCTGTTGTTTCTGAAATTATCTTTTAGACAAAGTAAAAAGTTGGTAGCTGCTTTACTTTTGAAAGAGGAAGAAAATCAGCCCTGGGTCACTGAAACTAGTGTACATAATTGAAGTCTCTAATTGTTTCCTCTATGCTGGGGTTTTTATCTATTTCCTGAACTCCTCTATTTCTTTCTGTTCAGACAGTCTGTTTGTATGCTATGATAATAAAATTCTTTCTGTTTCTTCTTCTATTGATCTTTACCCAAAATACTCTTCTGCTATTCTCCCTTTCTCTGGTTCCTGGATTTCATCACATGAGTGATTTTTTAAAAATTTTATTTTGGAGGCAATCAGGGTCTAGGGTTACACAGCTAATAAGTGTCTAAGGCTGGATTTGAACTCAGGTTCTCCTGATTCTAGGGCCGGTGCTCTGATATCTTAATATATTGTGCTTCTCTACTTGCCCTCCATTTTATCTGTCTTATTTCTTTTAAATAAAGTATACCCATCCAGAGCTACATAGGAGTCGTGGGTTTTTCCCACCAAGTCTTAGTGATAACTATGAAATCAAATTTGCCCCCCTGCATCAGAACCTTAGTTACTTTTGCCTTTTCTTAGACCAGAATTTCTCAAAATGTCTTTGGAGGGGGGCTCCTTTGGCGTTTTCAGGGTGTTCATGGGGTCAAAACTATTTTAATAATGATACCAAAATGTTTTAATTTCTCATGAGTATCTATAGGTACAACCCACATAAACAAGAGCTCTTTGTGGGGAGGTCCTCAATATTTTTTTTTTTTTGCTTTTTGGTAAGGCAATCAGGGTTGCCCAGGGTCACATAACTAGTAAGTGTCAAGTGTCTGAGCCCAGATTTGAACTCAGGTCCTCCTGACTGCAAGGCCAGAGTTCTATCCACTGTACCACCTAGCTGCCCTGTCAATAATTTTTAAGAGCTTAAAGGGTTCTCAAGACCCAAAAGTTTGAGAACTGCTAGCCTAAAGATTGGGAGCCCTAGATTCCACTATTGGTTCCTTTCTTAGATTTTATGGCTTGTAAACTTATTCATATCTCAAGTACCATTCTTCCTTCATTGTACCCACTCTCTTACTTTGTTTGGTGGCTGTCTGTAGGCAGTTTTCGCCTTCCACGGTGATGCTGAAATCCAAATCTTGTTCTAGGATATGACTATCTTAGAAAACTGTTCAATTCCCCAAGCAACCTTTATGTGCAGTTAGGCAGGGCAGTGGATAGAGTGCAAACACTTAATAACTGTGTGACCC